TGGCTCTCTCTTGAATTCCTTCCTGCACAAGACAATAATCTATTCTCCGGCAACAATGCCAAGCCAATCCCACAAATCACATAAACCAACTCTGTGTAATAAATCCCTTAATATGTATCTCCTCCTGGTTCTGTTTCCCTGGTTCAATCTTGACAGATACAGTCCAAATCAAAAAGAATAAAAATAAAGAACAATGTTTTTTATAGAAAGGGAGATGAATTCTAGGAAGAAATTTAGCTCTGATTTCTACTCTATCACATGTAAGTTACAACTTGAGAAACATTTTCTTTCTCCCTCCTTTAGCCTCAGAAAACTTGCCATCTTCAGTAAAGTTACTCTGTGCTTCTTTGTTTCTCTAGGTACTCTCTCAGATGACTTCATCTCATGACATTGCATGGAATCAATTTCACCCACATTTTCCTATTAAGACCACAGCCAATGGAAAAACCCCATTCTGACTTAGGAAGGAGCATTTATTATATAGACAGCTCATTTTGATTCGGCTACTCCACGAATTTAGTCTATCAATTTCTAAGATAGAGTCTGCAAATGGTTTCTAACATTCACAAATTAGCTCTAGGATTGATTCCAGAAGTCATGTTAGGGTCTTTGCTCAGATTCTTTGTTCTAACAGGTAAGAGAACAGAGTGTGTATTTTGAGCCTTGACTACTGAGACTCTGCGTGTCTGTTATGCTAATTATCTCCTGGGTGGGCCGCTGGAGTCCACTGGTCACAGTAAGTGGCTGGAGCCTGAATCACTGTGATGTTTTAAAGTATTTTAAGGATAGTAGATACTCAAGACAATTTGACACTGGAATCAGTGTATTTCCTTTGATCTGATTTCCCCAAAGAGTGTTTTTGGAATACAAAGTGATGGACATGTTAGTTGGTTTATAAGAAGAAGAAATAAAAAGATTTCCTAGTTGTATGGACTGAGTGTGTGTGGCCAGAAGTCAAATCTACTCCCCAACGTGATAGTATTAGGAGGCAGGGCCTTTGGGAGGCAAATCTGGTCTTGAAGGTGGAACCTCCTGAATGGGGTGAATGTCCTTCCAAGAAGACGGCAGAGGGCTTGCCTGCACTCTTCCCACAAAGCGAACGCACAGTGAGGAGTCAGCAGGCTGCAACCCAAGACAGGCCCTCCCCAGCACCTGACGATGCTACGAGCACGCCGATCTCAGACTTCCGAGACTCCAGAATTGTAAGAAACAAATGTCTATTGTTATTGCAATCATCTGAAATGATTAAAACAACAGTCAAGCAATTTGGGGAAACAGTGGGTTAAAGTGAAAAGATTAAAGTCTCTATTGCAGGACCCCTGAAAGCCCCTGACCTGCTCACACGCAGTGTGCACTAGCCAGAGGGCGGTCTGCGCACAGCACTTCCCACCCTGCAGAAGCCAGCGTGGGGCAGGCCGCCCCAGGTAACCTATCTGATGGACTGCTGCCACCTGGGATGGTCTTCACCCCAGGAGCTCCTACTAATGTGGGACAAGTTAGCTTATTCCAACTAATACATCTTATTATTATATCTTATTACCTTATTTATTCCAAGTAACATGACATCAAATACTATGAATTCATCTACCTATCACTGATATTTAGAATTCAACACTGAGAATTCCTGAATCATCTTAGATAATAGATATCACTTCTGCTACATCTACAAAATGAACTTAAGAGACTTTGCGACATCTTATTCATAGTTTTACTTCTGTTTCTAAATGCCAAGTATTTTCATTTCAGTTGCCTCCAATGCCTGCTGCATACAGAAGCTATCATTCACCTTTGTTTTTTTTAACACCTTTATTGTGGTATAATTCCTGTAAACTACACGTATTTCAGATGCACAATTTGATGAATTCTGAGAGATCCATACATCTATGAAACCGCCACCACAATCAAGACAGCTAACATTTCTATCACTCCCCAAGAGGTACAAATTTCGAACTCCTAATTTAGCCCTTCTTTTTTTCACTTCTTGCTCAAAGCTTTTACAACATCTTGGAAATGGGCAGAAACCTTGTAGGATTTTAAATAATGGGCCTACTAGTCTAATCTGTATGAGGCTAACATTCATGCAAAAATTTGTTTCTGATTTTGAAAATGTGAGGTTTTTGTATGACTAGCAAGAGCTGGGGTTTTCACCAGGAAAGGGAAGGGTGTCATCGCTCGTCGAATTAGACAGAGTTTTAGCTCATCTACGAGGAATAAGGGTGCATTGCCCAAATCTGGCATGACTATAGCATTTGTGTATCTAGTACTCATCCATTTCTTCTCTGTGTTCTATTGTGATCTCCTAAGCAGCATTTTCAACTCACATCTCTACTTGCTGTGAGGACTACAAATTGGAGATGTACACATGGACAGCATCAGTGCCTGGCTGGGAGCACGCCAGGACTAGAACAGGCATTACTGAGGATATATGGTGCTATCACATCTTCACTGCTGAAGCCTAACATAATTCTCTAGAGAAAGTGAAAGTGCATCTAGTTACAGTAAAAAAAAAAAAAAATCATACTGACTCAGAAAAAAATTAAGGTATAATTCGATATATTACAAAACTTCCCTAAAAAAAGGTGTCACTTCCTCCCCACAGTCACCTCAAAGGTTCTAATAAGATTTGTCACCTTTCTTATTTAAAAAACACAAACTTTAATTTTCCTTTTCAATAGTCTCAAGCTAAAATAAATCGGATATGTATTGTATGGATTAAGGACAGACTTTAATTCTACTTTAAAATATTAAATTTGTTTGAAAAGCCCTGTAAATCGATTCTCTTTTATTCAGACAACTTATCTGACGTTCTAAAAAATAACTTTTTTCAAAAATATGCTAAAGCAATGTCATTTTTAAAATAGTACAACTAACTTGTAAAATATCTTAAAATTTCCCCTTATTTTTCCGTATTTTTTTGAGGAGGAGATAACAAAAATAAATACATTGCTTTAAAACACAGCAGAGAAACTTACCCCCTCAAAAAAATCATTGGTTATCCTGCAGCCACTGGAGATAACAAAAAAGCATTTGTTCCCTCTCTTCATTCTTTCCTCGTGACGCTATATCTTTATAAAGACATTCATTCTGTTTCTGTAAGGTTACGTGCAAATCATGTAAGGCCATGACCTCCAAAGTTTACTCCCAGAGCAACGCAGAAAGGGACTCAGTGCACAAAACCAATGGAAAATATAAAACAAGCTGCCTGGTGGTTTGTTATTGTCTTCCATAATACATTAAGAAAGGTACTTCTTCCCCTCACCCTGTCCTTTCTCTCATACACTACACCTTACATCTGATCTGTCTCTCCACAAACTGCAGAGAAACAACCCAAAACCTTTCTCAGGCTACGGCCTCACATTTTCCCATTTCTCCTCATTTTGTCATATTGCCCAAAGGACCTCCAAGTGGGGAGAACAGTAAACCCCACAATTTGTTTTAGAGCACCAAAGAAATGCCTAGTAAAAATCTGAACTATGAAGAGTTATTCTCAATACACTATTTTGTAATGC